CACACTCCTGGTAAACTAACTTATTGGGTAGCCAGACCACTACACCTAATACTTGCCTATGTCCTGTTTGAAATATTTGGCCAACAGGTTTTTCAACTCTGACCCAACTGAACCACGGCGGGCCATGCGCAGAAGGTTTTCAACCTAGCTTGCACATGTGCTTCTTATTTTTGGTGGTTGGTGCATGGATCTACCTTCATTTGTCGGTTGTTCACTCTGAACCATGAACCCTGTCCAAGGCTTTCATAGATGATTTTCTATGTGAGTCCCGTCGCTGGCATGCTTACTGCTCAGTGACAAACCCATTTCCAGCTTGCAACTTACAGGCTAACAGACGCCGCTGAACCACAAGAACAGATAAAACCCGGAAGCTTGAGCGAAAGCCTCGATCCTGTGTATCAAATGGTGAGTCCTTGAGTCAAACTGCGCGACCTTGAGGCGACATCGGTTCCGTCGCGAAATTCGAAATCTGGTTGTGGCCGGATCTATTTGAAATGACTGAAGACGCTGAGTTTTGAGGTTACCTGTATAAGAAGGGCGAATGTAAGTTAATTAACCGTGAAAATTGATGGTGCCTGACACAATATGGCACCAATAGGCAGAAGCCTCTGAAGTACTTGAGGTACTTGAATCTTCGTGACTTTGTATGTGTGGAAATGCATTCTGACTGCGATACGTGCATGAAGAATGTTATACGTAAAACTCGCATTGATATATTGAAAATAACGTTGCGTGGAAAACGGTAGATTTGCGGAGCAAGTTGCCACCATACGGTATCACTTGTGGCGTGTATCCCAGAGAACCAAACCCGAAAAATTGGATTCGACCACACCAAGTGCCCCAGGTTCTACACTATCCAGCAGGCAGATGGTCTTCGGTATATCACCATTTTGTAACGGAACTTAGGGTTATTTTGGGTATTCAGAATAATCCAGAATTCTGACAGTATATTTAGAAAAGCGCTGTGCGCAACAAGGGCGTGCATAATGAACGGGTCGATCGAATTAATGTGTGCAGCTCGTCCATCCGTACTGCAATAAAGTTCCCTTCTTTCCTATTATCGTTCGAGTAGACAAAGTTTTCCTTATCGATGTAGAGTGTTTCAGTAACTAGGCCATTATCAATATGGATTAAGGCTGCAGTCTGTCAGTGTCAATGAGTCGATTTCTTGGATGCGGAAATAAACGGGTGGCTAATCCTCGGAAATTGACAATGGGATGTAAATATCGTCCAAATGATGATCTGCTGTTCGACTCAGAATAACCGTATGGGCGGTGATGGACGTTTCGTTCTAGTAGGAAGAGACTGAATCTTACTTGATGTGACGGTTTGTGTGCCTCCGTGACCTAATGAACTATGCTGTGGGTGTCCGTGCGACACTCAATCTCTCACACCAGGTTGATTAATGCCTAGAGTTTTGACCAACGCAGTCTCCTGGCCCTCTAGCTTGGTGTTCGGAATATGCGTAGCGAGTTGTTTTCAAAATGGTATTGTATTGGCATTTCCATCCAAACATTGCTGCCTTGCAGTCAAGGTTTTCAGCCAAATGCTTGGGTCGATGATGCTTATCGTCCTCCTACCTAGGTCTAAGCACCCTAACAGTATCGCAGCCCAGGTACAGTCATGATACCTACAAGTAACAATACTGTCATGCCGTATTGGCCGTCGCTTATTGTCATCCAGGTTGCCTTACTTGCTGCATACAGCAGGGTGAACAATCAAAATCAGGCTACCGCTGATATCTCTCTTTTCCTTCACACGCCTCCACGCAACCCGGTGATAACTGTTCCTATGGGTCCATCACTTAGGACGTCACTGCCCCATCACTCTCCACTCGCTTGCGCATTCACACCTTTTTCAATCTAAGGGCTGATGCAGCAGGACGTGCAGACGTTGGCGTTGCCCTGAATCACCGGGATGAAGGACCCTTGCTTGACTGAATCTCAGTTTATACTCGCATCTGTGAAGTCCGTCCGGCAACGTTCCTGAAGAAATCGTACGAGTGAAAAGTTAATGGCTGTCTGTCGTATCTGTACAGGCTCCAACCTACTGTGGCTCTGGCATCATCAAAGACAACTTTTATGGCCCCTTGATATCCTGTTGCAACGAGATAGGGGCTCGTCCGGCGTTATGGTTGTTTAAGTGGGTATGTTTGGCGCATCTGAGACTCAGTTGGGTGGTCAGCATGGGTTGAACTCGGTAAGGACAATCGCAGACGAGTGTTTTAGCCATGTGGCGAACGCAGATTTTCATACATTTCTAACTTCGGAAGTAACCGAATTTGTCTGGTCACATGGAGTCATCCAACAGAGTTTCAGACACCATCATCATCATCATCGACAGCATGACATCAGTGTTCAACACCGATGCTTCACTGCCGTAGGACGGCGCGTATCGATAACTGAATGTACAGTGGATGTAGCCGCCACATTTTCGTTCACCGATGATTTGGGGAGGTGGGGTAATTAGCTGTGCAGTGGAGCCGGAAGCTGACAAGTTGGTGGGTAAATGTAGTATTGTTAGTGGACTGTTGAGTGGGGGAAATTGGGGAGGGAGCTATGCATTGAAGGCAATAGCTTGCATGCACGTGCGCCATTGAAGGCGCGACTGGGCCATGTCTGACAATACCTCTAACCATTGATGTGGCCCGTCTCGGGGTCCCCATCCAGGAAGATGGCAATGACCAGTGCAGCTGAGTTTGCTGGTAATGGCTTTTATACTTCGCTGTCAAGTCATTGTCTGACCGCCTCTGGCTCGTTTCCGCCCTTCACGTGGTCGTGCGAAAAAAACCTTCAAGGAATTCGGTCGATTGGCATAGGTAGCACGTGTCCACACCAGCGCAACCTATGCAGTGTGATCGGTTCATCTATCGAGGGTGTTATTTCTTCCAGGTACCATTCGACGTACTTCGGCATTGCTTAGCAGGTGTTCTTACCAGACCTGGACAATGCTTATTATTATTGTTATAATTATAATTATTATTAATCCTTTACTATCAGGTAATGCTTCGAAGAAATCGACTGTCTTTTGACATAATTGGCGTGCAGTGGCCAGGTTTCTGTTCCATATAGTAATATGGAGCTCACCGCATCATTGTAAATTCGATCCTGCAGCTTGTGGCCAGGCGCAGTCGGGACCTCGATTACCCACTCCTAGAAGGTGTGTCGCATCAACATCTTCGTATTCACCTTCGCACCATTTCGCCAAATCTGACATTGTCCACCTTGCAGTTCACATCATTTAGAAGGCATGGAGGATAACATCCGTCTCAGTAGACAAGGCATTAACATGCGTAGTACATGGTTGAACCACCGAAGGTGATGGTACTGGATGTTTTCCGTGATTAAAGTGTCTGCTGCACAACCAACCGCTTGTTTTCTACCTATCTCGTTACGAATCAGATGACGTCATCAGACACCAGAAACGCCCGTGAGATACCGGTAGCCAAAAACCTGAAGGCGCCTCACATTATCTGTCCACAAAGACCTTATCTCGCAGCCATACAACAATACAACTCTTGGGTCCAATTGGTATGCATTTTAGACATCACGAGTGACACGAGTTAGCAAAGGCGATTGCCGCCTTTGAAAATCGCTCACTGGCTTTATCAGACACACTTCCATCAGAGCTAATACAACTACCGAGATATATCAAATTCTTAACAACATCCAGTGCTTCTTGAATCTCAAGGTGCATGCTCAGAGACTGCACTTCTGAAGCATTGCTTTGAACTTTGACGGTGATGCTGCGAGATATGGCTGCCACTCAATGTCAGTGGCGTTCTGTTGTCACTTTCTGTCCAGATTTCCTGAGTGAGTGTCTGGTGGTATAGGCCTATCGGCACCAAGTTCCTTTCCTGTATATCTTTATACTTTTCTTCACAATGAAACTTGTAACTAAACCTTGCTAGCACGAAAACAAAGCGCCAGTGTGAACACCAATGTGACGTTGCTCTAACACATCGCAGAGTGTGGAAATATGGTCAACGCAGCCTCTATCTGGTCGAAATCCCGCTTGCTGATCTCGGATCAAGGATTCCGTTGTCGCCGCAAGATGAAGAATCAGTGACGCCAGGAGCCTTGTTACATCTGAAGTCAACAAACTACGGTTACTACAATCACTGCGAGTATCCTTTTTAAAGACGGGCATGATAAAGGACTCATCTCTAGTTTTATGGAACGATAGATGCAAATAGGCTAGACAGGCTGTGGTTGAAAAACCCACCTCCATCTCTGAACAGAGCGGGTAGAAGTTCTTCAAGACCAGGAACACAATGAATCTTGAGTAGGGATATACCGTCGGACACTTCTGAGGCGGAAACGAGCTTGGGGACGCGTTCGGAAGTACGTAGCTCCGACCCATCCCCACTACTCTCTTTACTCAGGTACCTGGTCAGGCGCATACTTCGCTTAACACAACTGTTGAACCATACTTACCAAGCATGTAGTTGAACGTGCGAAAATCCGGATCCAGTGCGCCAATGTGTGTTTATCACCTGGGAGCGTGGGCGAATCCACGTAGGCCACTGTTTTGAAGTTGTAATGACTCACTCTGTGATGCAATCATATGATTGGAGATAAATTGAGTTCATTTCATATGTTCGTGAAATTCTCCTCAGACGGGATTATGGTGCCCAATATGCTTGGTTCTGTACCCAAACGGCATAAGTTTTAATTAGCCCGATTGTCAACTTAGGAAAGCTGATGCTGGCAGTAAGTCATAACAAAGTAGCCCAGAAACGAAAACGCCGATTGTATTAAGTGATCACCAGTGGGATTCCTTCGCTTATTTGCTAGAGACGCTGCCCCCTCTCCCACCAAGTTAAACTCCTCACTCCAGATCACTAACATGATACATTCCATGATGAAGACATCCAAGATATGGTTCACCTCATTTGTGACCAGGCAGATAAACGTAGCACGATGAATTACTGTGACAGCGTCATAATTCTTTGTTTCTTTTCAGTGAATCTTCGAGTTCCTGTTCCATTTTAATGACAAATGGATCTTATCTTTCATGCTCTCAGGCGTCGCCTCTACCGGTCAGATCATGAGTTACTTCTATTCGAAGACGAATTGTTTCGTTTAAAGCAAGCAATCAAGACACTCGTTTTCGACGGCGAAAGCAACTCCCTCTTAATAATTGGACGCAGAGGTGTCGGTAAAAAACGGGCAAGTATATATTTCTTAGTACATGACCTTTTTTTAAATAGTTACTTGCACAAGCGTTAAAGGACTCAAAAAAGGACAACAACATAAGAGACAACCTTCTGGAAGTCCATCTGAATGGTTGGGCTCTCATTTGTTTATTTTCACAATCCTAGGGCTTATTCACACGGATGATGGCTCAGCTCTTCGCGCGATGGCCAGGCAGCTTCATCGTGAATCACTGCTACAGAGCCCTTCTTCAGAAGTGCCGGAAACAGACCGGATAGCTGGAACGAAATCCCTGCCGTTTTCACAACAGCTTCAATGGTTTTTGGATGGACTTCACTCTGGAGATGGATCATCTAAATCGCTCCTTATAGTGTTACACGAATTTGACTTGTTTGCATCGCATCGTAACCAAATTCTGCTTTACAACCTATTTGACTGCTGTCAGTGCAATGACACTCCGATATGCGTCATTGGGCTAACGTGTCGCCTGGTAGGTCCTGTCATAATGTGATCATCCTAGCTATCGGTTTTACTGCCTTGATATAGTAGCTTGTGGCAGCTATAACCACTGTACGACAAGTACGCGGTTTTTACAGCTGATGATTGTGACATTAATACTGATCAGTCTGGAGTGAAAGCTTAAACCTTCCAGAAGATCTACGGCCGGTTAATCTAGTATTGGACTAACAAACAACAATTCATTACAGACATTTATTGGTGACCGACGGTACGTATGAAGAAGGTATACGTCAGAGTTCAGCGGGACTATACTAAGGTCAAGTACTGACCACCTTTTCGTTGTTCGTTCTAATCTTAAATGTTTACGTGGACGAACCAAGTAAACGGAATCCACGAACTGGTAGTAAAAAACAGCCTCCCACCCTGAAGTCCCGAGACGAAAAGCAATGTTTACGCAACCTGCCGACAAGATAAAATGTTTTGGGGTGGTATTGCCATTTTTTGTGTGACACCGTCCTGCGCATAATTCAACCGATCGGTCACAGTACAGCGGCTGTCGAACACATCAGTTCTTAGAATGTCAGGTAATCATGAAGTTTTCGGAATTTGGAACGCCGTGACGTTTTATGCACCGGAAAGTATAACATATGATTCCGTTGGTTTTAAGTTGACTACTATCATTTAGTGCATGGCTTTAGTGCACGAAAAAATTCAGCTTTGGCGTCTTGAATCCAGTGTTGGACGAAGTATCACCCTAACATCTGCGACGTTATCACAAACATTAGGGGACGCGAATTTTTTCGCTATCAGAATAGTCACATCTTGAACTTATAAGTACTTGCTTATCCAGTGCCGTATGTATTGTTTACCCTATTTTCATGTTTGGGGCTCTCAAGTGTCCTTGACTGGGTTCCGGTTCTTGTCTGATCGGTCTAAGCAGCGATCCTGATTGTGTGCTAATCATGTGTTATAGTGTCCTTCTACAGTGTTGCGGCCACACCTTTTCTAGCAGAGTCCGGCATTCCAAAACTGAGGTTGGGCGAATCAACAATGCGTTTTAGTCAGCAATGTGCCATGTACCCAGGATGCCGTCTTTTCAGCTGCCAAAGTTTCCGGATCGAAAATTGTAAGCGCAGGAGGGATGTAGCCAAGCATCGTGGGCGATGGTGCAATCAGTTAGTTGCTGTTGAATCAGTCTAGTTATTTAGAGAAACGAGAATATGGGCAGCTGTGCGTTGAAAGCGATAACTTCGATGCGGGAGTGCTACTGACTGTGTGATTCAACTAATGATTATCAGTGTAATTAAGCACTGATGAGTCGATCCTCCATGGTCCCCATTCAGGGAGGCGGCAGTTGTCAACTTGACTGAGTTTACTGGTTAGTCGTTCCAGCTATAACACTTTTCGGTACTTAGCTACTCAAGCATAACGGCTGAGCTACCGCCAGGTAATCCAAGGGTACACAAGAGCAGTCGAGATGCTGATGTGGGGTTAGAATAAGGAACCTTTCGGTCGGTAAATTTTCCTCCTAGCCACTGAGCTATCTCGAGCGTCCTTTGTTGACAGGTCACAGATTGCCCACCTCTCGGTCATTTCCACTCAGCACAGGGCTGGTCAACGGGAGCTGTTTGATGTAGAAGGTTGTCCGATATGCGGGGTACATGCCCTAACGATCACAATCTGTGATGCATCTCGACCTTCCCTGGACCTTCTAGCGTGCCTGAGAGTCGCCGACACAATGTTCAAAACGGGTTGTCGGTACTAATGCAATACACCCGTTGTGAAACACCGGAGGCTTTCGCACATCCTTTTACGGATAGAGGTACATTTCTGATCCATAAAGCAGCATAAACGGCACCATCACAGTTTGGCCTGGTGTTTCCGATTCGAGGAGTGTTTTTGTTTGCAACCACTCCACCGGAATGTACACAACTGTCCAAATAAATCTGTGCCTGCCACATCGGTTACCTGGTCTGCTAGTATGAGTTTTCGTCTCATCGAGCCTTGTAGCTGCATTTCACACTTCAGGTGTGAAGCGCATACCAGATATTTATGGTAAGACAGGACACAGCCTTATCACTGTCGCTGCGTGTTGTCTACAGTGCCCGCAATAGTTACGTGTGCAACCTTATGGGAGACAGCTGCATAAATCACAATGGGCTCAATAGAGATATAAATGCAACCAATCATGGCCGCATTCCATTAGAATAGGATTTGGTTTTACGACTAAGTTCTGTCAGTAGTGTCATGAGACACTCAACTTCCACCAAAATCGCAGTAGGGAAGCCTTCAAGCATCCAGGTCAGAAAAGCCAGCTCTCGATCGAACGCTTAAGTAGTCATTGAATTCAGCAACGGTCGGTGAGTGTTCAGGCACGCCACAGAAGCACGGTCACTGAAGATGGGTGTTCACCAAACGCCGATCAGGCAGCCTGCATCAATGTCAAAAGTGTCCTTCAAATACCTCAAGGCCGCTTGAAACTTTCGCACTCACTTGTTCACAATGAAGCTGTTGTGTTTCTTGTTGGTGAGTATTTTTCCGACACTACTGTACTAGAGCGGGGACAGCAGTCAGCTGCAGCAGGTAGGTTAGCAACGAAGGGAATGAAATACCGCCGTATGAATCGAAGAACGTTTGCGTTGAGTTTTTTTTCGCGCAAACAGTTGGCATGAAACTCTATGAATGGCGGTATGGCCCGCTGTGAGTTGTATTAGGATCCATGTCTGTCATTTTCACCAGTTGACGCAATGTTTCAATTACGCCCATTATAGTGCAGTGTGGACCAGCGAACTGTTTATCATAGTCGAAGATCAGGATATCTTAAATCCCCCCTGCGGTTCATTGGTTAACTGGCTAGCCAGCCTGGTAGAGGTCAGAAGAGGTGTGTGAACTCACGGTTTGGAACGTAGCTTTCGTTTATCAACTCAAGGGTTCAGAGTTCCATAACTATAACATTTTCTCGGCTGACTTCTAGTCATTATTTGTCACGCACTGAAACCTAGACTATATTTGTGAGCATTGAGAGTAAAGCGGCAAATATATTTGCACTCCCTTCTTGGAACTGAAAGAGTTTTGCTGCTCCGCACATATAGTGTTCAGCCTAATATTGAAAGTACATCAGCAGAAAGACGGATTTTCTGTGACATCTTTTTTGGGTCTACTCCTCAGCGATCCAGATAAAATTGAATTTCAGCTAAGTGCACTTATTAGGGAACCTACGTTGTGTGCTCTTTATGCAAACCACATATTTCTGCTTGCCATTGATAATGTCAAACCGACCGACGCGTTTAACAGCTTCAATTCGGTGCATACTAGGTCGAGTTTTTTCTTGAACCCAAATCTGACGGACATCTAATTTTTCCTGGTAGTGATATTCCAATAGTTTTTATGTGCACCTTGAGCATACACACCTAGAACTCAGATAAATAACGTTAAACACACACACCCTCAGCCAGCTTTTACTGCCTGGTTGCCATACCAAGCATGAGGGCTGAATTACAGCCAGGTTGCCCAAACCTAGACAGGAGCAGCTGAGATGGGAGGTTGGATCAAACCGCGGACCTTTCGGTCCGTAAACACTGAGCTATCTCTACCTACCTCATCTTCAACACAATCAGGAGTAATTAGGGACCAACGCAGCAGGCGTCGTAAACATGAACTTTGTTGAGAGTAGTGCAGTAACACACCTGATATGAATTATCATTCATCCGCGCACAATTGGTGGAAGTACAAATTGAAATTGGTCTTATCTATCTGCGACCTCTGCCTCTCGACTTCCCCTGTCTAGGCTTGGGTAACCTGTGCTTCCTTCGAGTGACATGGCAACTAGGCACCAGAAGTGTGCTACAGCTGAACGATTTATTTTTTCCTTCTTGTAGGCGAGGAATTTCGAAAAGTGGCTGTCTCTGATTTCCTGTTCTCCACAGTGGCACCGGTCTCGGCAAACGGGCGCGTTTCCATTGCGACTAAAGAGTCTTCGTGACCTTCGAGTGGGCAACTAGGCACCAGAAGTGTGCTACAGCTGAACGATTTATTTTTTCCTTCTTGTAGGCGAGGAATTTCGAAAAGTGGCTGTCTCTGATTTCCTGTTCCCCACAGTGGCACCGGTCTCGGCAAACGGGCGCGTTTCCATTGCGACTAAAGAGTCTTCGTGATATCATGACTTTGTTGTATTATCCACATGCATAATGTCGACGAAGTTACGATTGTGTCGTTTTCAATCCGACTCATCAAATCCTTTACCTCCACAACATTCAGCGCATGTTTGCGAACTTTGTACCCTGCCAAATGGATCAGAACCAGTTTTCGTATTTTCATCTAGTGGACCAAACAACGTCGCTATCCATCGTCACCGTCGTAGACTTTTGGAGCCTTTTTCACACCAGCGGAACAACTATGAGATATGAGACGCCTCGTTCCATAGGTTTATGTAGCATAACGCTACTGTAGAAAAGCCACAATCCCGTGAACATCAATTCTGTCGGTTCGTTTATTGGCCAACAACTTTCAGAAACTGACAAATTCAAGTACAATTTGCTGTCACTTAGGTCTGGGCTTTTGGTATCCGCAGTGAATGCAGTGAACGGCCGAACGCCACAGCGTTCGCCGAATTGATCACTTCCATCTATCAGTCCAGAGTGTTCCATCATTCGCTCACTTCTTCAGTGCAAGGACGGGGGAGTTAGTGGATCGATTTGAACTGCTTTTACTTCCGTGCGAGTTATGCCATGTTGTCTGTCCCAGTAGTTCACCAACCCAGCTCTGGCCTACTGCGATTTTCACAGTGCCTGCTCACTCATCCTGGTGCTGTAATCCGAATACCTGCTCCTTTTTCCCACCGTTTGGCAGTGTATGAACAATTTCCTCATCCCACCCTCTTCCTCAATTTGCGACTTGTGGTGTATTCGGTTACTGAGCTCACCTGAGACACGGTGACGACCAACTCGAGGTTACAAGACTGTTATGCCAGTCGATTGATGTCTTGCCGAAGCATATTATCGATTTGCTCAGACCCAGTATGGAAATGCCAGACTACACCAAAACAGGTATAGAGATCAAGGCTATTGGCGACGGATTTAATGCCCTTGACAAGCTGCTTAAGGATTATTCGCCGCCTGGACACTGACTCCCTCCGATCATCGCATCTAAACACGTGGATTCATGGCCCAATACAAGAGCCGTGTTCTTCCTATCGATTTTAGCGTCGTAAAGTGTGCCTTTCAGTGAGACCTAAAATTTAGTCATGGTTGGCTATCTTGGCCAAGGGGTTTCGCATTGTCTTACTTATTTTTCTGAAGTGCACAGTTCCATATCCGAATGGATGTAAAAGTATTTCGTGTTTACTTCGCGCCTGTGCGAAATTAACGCACCTAGACGTTTGGTTTGGTTTAGTTTGGACCTTTTCTCGCTTTGCTTTGATTAAATTCTGCAGCGTTTCTAAGTTCAGATTAGTCGCCCAAATTTCCTCCTCGAAATGAGAAATCCGCTCTCCGCCTTATCTCTTTCGTGCTATCATGCCCTACACACGGTCGGTAGGTTTTATATCTAGACTGCGGTGGCTAACCCTGTTATGGAGCATTTCAACAAAGAAGTTATGGTCCTTTTTGGCTGGGTAGTATGGGTCGATGCAATATTGTTTTGGAATACCATTTCTCAGGTTTTTTCCTCAGAAGAGTGTAGTGTGGTAGTTTGATGTTATCGGCTGCGACTCCCTGCTTCCACGGGAATGACGCCTTAACCCATAACAGATCCACCCATGTTATAAATTCAGTTACGATGGTTTCCTTGCCCAAGTTGTACAAATAACAAGCCAAACTGTTTGAACTTAGTTTTTCCAGTACCATATATCAGTTCATTCCGCGCATGATTCCAAAAGATGTGATCTTCCACCCGTGTGCCAATCGTGCTTTCCAGGCAGCTAAAGGGAATTCCTTGTCTTTATGGAGCTGAATTCTGCACAATCTTGACACATTTTTAGGGCGGACCTGACGCTCAGGTCTGAATTGTGGACCTCTTCAGCCTCCACGTAGTTGATATCTAGTTATACGTGGCCCAAACAACTTTTTGTCTGCGTAATGTACTACTCATAAGGTTGCTGAAAATCCGTCGACAGGCCACGGCCGGTTTCGCCTTTTTTGGGGCTCATCAGGTAGGTGCAGTCCCCGGGTTTCCGTCTTACCAGGCGACTTTTGCTTTGTTTCTCTGTTCTTTAACCCCTCGAACTGACGAGAAAAGAGCTTACTTAGGACCACTCAAGGTTGCTGGAAACTCTTCGACGGCTCACGGCTTAATTAAGCTTGATCGGTCAGTTTCCTCACAACACATTTGCTCATTCTGTCGTCACCCTGGTCACCAGCGATCTTCTGCGTCTTTTAGCTGACTTGTTGTTTCCATGCCGAGAGCACAACTTCCAGGTCGGTACTGCTCGGGATTTAAAGTACTGCATTTTTTCCGGCTATTTTAGTCTGTGATCGACTTTATCAGCAGTTTCATGCCCTCTGTTCTATGTATATAAAGTCACAGTTCTCCATAAAGTTGATGAGCAATTCGTTGATTGGTAAGTTTTCGAAAACCGCATATTCCTAGTTGAGTAGAGGTAGAGAGGATCGATAGGAGATGGTTTTATTAGCGCTTCACATGCCATCATTGCATTTCGCGTGGTTATGGATATCCCACTTTACACAACCTTCTTCCTCATTCGTTTGAGAGAATTCAACTCATGTATCCGTATTCCAAGGCTGTTCTCCATGGGTTTCACGATATTTCGGCTTTTCTCCATACTGAACGTGCTCAATAAATGATCTGACATGCTTTCAAAATCCACATCGTCGGCGAACCTCGCTCGCTGTTTTAGCTGATTGTCAGTCTGTTAATTGGGTGCTGATCGGGAGGCGGTTGATTGTGGATTTCCAACATTTAGTCGGATCGCAGTTGCCAAATACTCCAGGAACTGCCTAAGCGCAAGCAAACCTCGAGCAAATGCGCACGGCTGGTATCTCCTGTGTTGACGATACGCCTGCAGGCTAACTGACAAGCTCGGCTAACAGATCAACTGTCACCTGATTAATGGTTTGTCAGCCTGATTGTCTTCGAAATTCGTTCCACTGTTTGTATTCTCCAAGCTTGGAGTCATAAGTTTTTAGGTTGCGAATTCGGTCAGAAAGTCGAAGGAAGCGGAGATAAGCACGGGTTGCTGTTCCCAAAAGGGTATGCAGCATCCACTTCCTATATAGACTTTGCTGTGCAACAGTTGAACTTCTTACTCTTACTTACAGATACTGAACGTGCTCAATAAATGATCTGACATGCTTTCAAAATCCACATCGTCGGCGAACCTCGCTCGCTGTTTTAGCTGATTGTCAGTCTGTTAATTGGGTGCTGATCGGGAGGCGGTTGATTGTGGATTTCCAACATTTAGTCGGATCGCAGTTGCCAAATACTCCAGGAACTGCCTAAGCGCAAGCAAACCTCGAGCAAATGCGCACGGCTGGTATCTCCTGTGTTGACGATACGCCTGCAGGCTAACTGACAAGCTCGGCTAACAGATCAACTGTCACCTGATTAATGGTTTGTCAGCCTGATTGTCTTCGAAATTCGTTCCACTGTTTGTATTCTCCAAGCTTGGAGTCATAAGTTTTTAGGTTGCGAATTCGGTCAGAAAGTCGAAGGAAGCGGAGATAAGCACGGGTTGCTGTTCCCAAAAGGGTATGCAGCATCCACTTCCTATATAGACTTTGCTGTGCAACAGTTGAACTTCTTACTCTTACAGGTATATATATATATATATATATATATATGGTCTTCTTTCCGTTTTCTCAGGATATCATGGAACTTTTAGAGAAGCGTGTCAAGTCCCGCTTCTCACATAGACAGATTCATCTCATTTCAATTGCTGCTCCGCTAGATCACTCCAGCTCACGAGCAGTTGACAATGAAGGTTCACAGATTGCGTTCGATAACTATTGCCTCGCCTGTGAGCATTTGCTACAGCTCAACCTCGACTACGTTTGCGGGACCGCTCACAACCTGGCTACTGGCAAAGAACGTCGGGAGTTGGACGCTTGTGTCAAAAGTTGGAATTCACATGTTCGAGAGCTATTGTTCGACGAAATAGTTATCGACACTTTGCGGCAAGCTTGGTCTGTTTCCGCCAATCTTCGACGACTAACGAATTTATTGGTAAGTTACCAGCTTTTGTGTCTCATCACCCCTCGGACTAGCCCTATCAGCTTGGTGAGATTTAGTTATACACTCAAAGTAACCGCATTACATGTGTTTTAACTAACGTGAGATGCAACCAAGGTGACTTGTTTAGGCAATAATCACCATTTTTCATGTCGAAAGTTCTTTTTCATTTCGACGTTACTGTTTTCATCGTCCTCTCTATTACTTCGATGTACACCGGAAAGTCTACACGTGTAAGTACTCATCTGGGCAATCTAGAAAGTCAATCGGTAACACTGCTGGAGTTGGCTGGTAACTATGTATTGCATCGTTTTCAACCAATCACAATAAGAGCTGTGCCCTACTCCTTATGAGAGACAACACCCAATGGCAACCATTCCCATCGTCCTTTTCATACTGGTTTGCTAAATCATAAGTTATCCACCTGTTTGTTTCAACCAATTCGTCAGCTCTAAGCCTTGTACCATGAACACATTGGTTTCAGCTGCTGCAGTTTTGATAACCGAAAAGTCCATACCATCATGAAGTGGGAACTTCCAAAGTTGCCTTTCTTCGTAGATGGTAATTTCGTTTGATTAACTTATTTCAGTTCGTTCTACTGTTTATACCGCTCAGTGACGCGAAAACCACGGTTTTTTTATCATCTCACGCTCACTAACGCATCCTACACCTAGATGTATTAGTTGTTCAAGCTGTAAACTCCTCTAAGTGCCTTCACCAGAAGCGACTATATGTCGCCAACGTGCAATAACATAACTTGTATCGTGGTCAAGACTGTCACGTACCAACAGTCAGCAAATTTCCCGCCACCTTTGAGAGTCTCGCCGTGCCTCCTTATGCCGCATGTTGCTCACTCTCGTCAGGGCCAATAATAAATAAACGGGCAAATAAGGGAATAATCTTTCAGCCGTAGCGTCCTTTTATGTTCGTGCTTGCAAGGCCACCCGAATGAAGCACCAGGGATGAGATACTGCTGGATTGTCTGGGTCTAGATGGGATCAACTGAGATATCAGGTTTGGGTTCAAACGAAGGACCTTACAGTCAATAGTTTCGCGCCTTAGCTACTAAGTTTCTAGAGGTCATCAGGGCTAACATAATTTGTGACCTACAGATATGCTTTACACTTCTAGATGAATTTCAAAAGGTAGTGCGAGTACACTTTAAAGGTTAGAAGATTGTACAACAGGTGATTAGTTTTCTGTATATCTTATTCATTACGCTTGTTCTAAGGCGTATTTTTCGTCTAAATGCTCGTTTTGTCCCATCCCCTGTGTTAATAGGTGCCCATTGTAGCGAAACTGGGAGGCGCCAAGACGCGGATCGATCCTGTAGAATTCATTGACTCTTTGTGTATACTTCGTGAAGACTCGAAATTAAATTCTTTGAAAGGTCGGTTTCATTACTGAATAATGTTCACTTCGCTTTCACTTCAGCCTATTAGTGTCCCCGTGCTGCTTCTACGTCTGATGATCTCTTGAAGCGCATTTCAATAGTGGCGTTTAGTCTAGGCTCCGGTTCACCCTACTGGTGGACATAAGCTTGTGAGTCGTCTGATATTTATGCGAAATCCAGATGACCAGCGCAATACTGATCTAATCAAGCTTCTTCGTTCGAAAAGTCAGTTTTCAACAACGCCACAGCTTCAGTCTGCGTTAAATATGTTGTGGCGGTTCAAGATGTTCAAGACGATGTAATCCCTCAGCACGTTGTTGCCATCTCACAATTTATACTGACCAGGGCAACACATTGGTTTCCACTGTTGATATTCTTACCCAAAACTAAATTGATAATCCTCCAGTTTAATGCACCGCTGGACAATTCAGTGATAGAAATCCGAGAATATCAAGAAATGGCATGGGTCGGTTGATGCAGATCTGAGTAACCACAGTTTCTCCAACCTGACCTCATTCCAACTATCTTAAACACCACTGAAGGGATTAGTCCTGATACCACGTTTTTAAAAGGACGTACAAATAAACTCCACTTCCCTACACGAACACACCTTTACAAAACCCACTGCTTTCTGGGCTTCCAAGAGTGGTAATAGAGCCCTTACTTATTTTCAGTAACGTCGTATGCATGGGAATTGTGGAAAAGTCCCAAGTACATCATTCAGCTTATATCAGAATAACACCTCATTCTGCCAGAGCAACCCACTTATGTTATTTGTAATGCAACACCCGACTGCGATTTGGTATCGTTTTTCCCCACTAGAATAATTCATCATCATCATCATCATCAAAGACAGAAGCATCAGTGTTGCCACTGATGCTTCACTACCGGAGTAATTATCATTTACTCCCCCACATCAAACGTTACGCAACATGCGGTCTAAATTAATTCCAACCATAGTGGAAAAATAGGAGCCGTTTGGTTGGTAGGTCAATATCCATGGTGGAAGTATAAGTCTGTTTTCGGGATATCTCGGCTGCTTAGTGTTGCCACGATGCTTCACTACCGGAGTAATTATCATTTACTCCCCCACATCAAACGTTACGCAACATGCAGTCTAAATTAATTCCAACCATAGTGGAAAAATAGGAGCCGTTTGGTTGGTAGGTCAATATCCATGGTGGAAGTATAAGTCTGTTTTCGGGATATCTCGGCTGCTTAATAAGAGACTGGACCTTATATGACGGCCTCTGCATCTCCACGACCCATTGAATCGTACAAAAGCCTTGTCGATCTGGGCAATGCAGTTGACGTTGTCCTCGTCTTCGAAGAGGAGGCGGTGTTGTTGAATAAACTGATCAAAGTCATCCCCCGTCTGTTGGCATGCGTTTTACACCCACCAAATGTAAGGTCATGCTCCTGAACATGCATGAACACGCTACTTACAGTCCAAGCAGCGGCACTCTATGTTGTGAAGCATTTTACATATCTTGAAAGTTGTATTAATTTCGAATGCATTGTGACAGATGAGACCAATGTGTGAATCTGCAAGGTCACGCTTGGTAATTTGAGACCTATGGCGTCAAGTCGGCTTATCCCTGGATCTCAAGGGACGTGTGCATCAGGTTACAGTACGGGCTGTTTTGTTGTATTGTTGTGTGACTTGGTTTATTGGAGCAGCGGAACTGGGACGTCTCCATTTGTTCGACCACCGTTGTCTCAGAACCACAGCTCGTGTAGGTCGGTCTCGCCAAATCCTTAACGAGAGGGTTAGAAATAAGTGTTCGGTTGTGCAATGTGGATTTCCATTGAAGAATGTGTCCAGCTGCGTTGGTTGGGCCAGGCATGGCGCATGCCGAACCATCGTTTGCCGAAGAGAGGGCTGTTTTCCCTGCTCAATTCAGAGAGGTGGCCAACCTTTGACCTGACAGAGGGGTATGAAACAGATTACGAAAACTGTATATTCTCGTTGCGACTCATCTTCCAGGATGGCCACTGTGTGATCCCCTAGTTGGGAACTCTGCAAGATGTGGCTTCTAATCGATATCAGTGGCGTTCCTGTTGCCTGAATTAATGTCTGAAAATGTGAGCCCTTGAAATGATTGTAAGCTAGCACTGAGTCCATTTCCATTCCACTTTTATTCTTTCCTTCACAATAAGGCTTTCAAATAAATCATGATTGTAGGGCTCCGGTACTGTGCACTATTGTTATGCTGTCGATGATGACGGCGAACTGCAAGGTTTGTGTGAACATCTAAACGCGCCGATAACTGCTGTCCGTTCATTGTATCTAGTTACGCCCGAGCAGACCCTTGCTCTGATTCCCCCGGAAGATAGATTTTACGGTGTTTTGAACGCTTTGTTCGGGCTAGCCAGGGTTATGAATGCGCGGGTAGGTGGAATTGCGCTGCTGAGGCTCTGTCGAGTGGTTACTTTGAAGTGGCTTCGAGTCGCACAGACACTGCTAAACGGCCGCTACAGTTTTATGCTGACCACAAGCTATTCCCCTTCAGTACCAACTTCCGAAACAACTAAAACTGCTTGGCCACATGGTGCTCATCGTATGCGAGCCAACTTCCAACACTGATAGGCCTCATCGCCATTAGCTTTAGGTAGCGTGGATTAGTTACTAATTGTAGCTCGTTGTGAAACATCTGTGAGTTCTGATCACCCACTTGTCTGTCGCCGCTTTATACGCTTTTCAGGAACATCTAAAATGCTGATACCTTGCTTGACGATTGATAAGCTCTCCAACCCTAATATGAAATGAAACTAGCAAAACCATTAAATTCTCTTTTGGACATTTCGTCTTCTGCAAGCTGCTGGGTGCTGTCTCTAAAACGCATTCAACTATATCTATGTATATTGAGCGAAACTCCTGACGTGATCCAATTTCGGACACATTACTCCGGGTTGGGAGTGCAATACAACTTGATGAACTGTCAGACGTCAATTGAGAAAAAACCACTATTACAGGTCGAGAAGGTTAATGGGCCCAGAGAGCTGAGGTGATGGAGAAAGCGAGAAATCCTGATCATGTGCGAAAACCATTTCAACTGCTACGCGCACAAGCCTAAAAAGTGCCTTCGGTAAACGAAACTCTCATAAAAACGACACTCATCTGTAGAAAAGGACGTTTAAATGAGCACTTTAACAACAATTCGGCTTGTCACTTGCAGTTGTTCAACCGGCTACCCTACCCGTAACCGAGCCCTGGGCAATGAACTTGGAATCTCCGGCGGCTTCAGGAGTAAGTAATTGCCGCAAACGTTACCGAGCTGTCGGTCCCGAATAACTCCCATCCGCTCCGTTTAGGTGAACTCAGTCGGTGCATATCCAACTTATCCGCCTCTCTCTGGACAAAGAAGACCCTCCCGGGCAACGGTTGAATCGATATTTTTTGCCCATTTTCAAAAGAGCCGCTCACAGAGAAATTAGCTTGACCCCGTCGCGACGAGGCTGTTAGCATCGCTTATTTTATGTCTTGTGGGAGCGAATGAAGGCCCCGCCCGAGAACGGCAAGTGGAATTCCGGCCGGGAATGGGTTGTATGGATAGCTTCTTCACACTCCGTCAAGTATTAGCACAACGGCATGCATACAAGTACCCTACAGTCTTCGTGTCCCTTGACGGTGCGTTCGATGCTATTGCCGGATTCATCCTCATCACAGTTGTGTGACAAGTTATACCCCACAAGCTTGTATATGACATACTGTTTGTATTCGAATACTTGTGAACGCGCGACTGTATAGGAGCTGTCTAAAAACTTCCTTACAAGCAGTGATTTCCGACAGGTGTGTCCACTCTCTCCATTTTAGTATAGTTTCGTGGTTAATGAGATAATGGGATGAGTTTTGAAATTGCAAACGAAGTAGTTACACTCTCCCATCACCGTAGTTTTACTCTACGTTGTTCGTCATCCGTGTACCAGTGCTCTTGATATGTTCACATCTCTACAATTCGTTTCTTTCTATTCCTCAAAGGTCTGTGTGTCCTTGAACTGTTTTTAATCGCGACTCTAGTCAAGCTACAGGAAATCCACGAGGGACGTCCTGTCAACTTTGAGCTGCTTTACGCAGGTAAGATTATTTCTTCTTCATGGACAGTTGTGACTCTAGGTTATTGTCGCCAACACTAGGGCGAAGGATGCAACTAAGTTATGAAGGGATGAAGAAATCAATTAGCTTTGAACACAGAAAGTCAGCTCAGTTAAAACCGGGATCCTCTAGCCGTTATTTCCATATACTACAGTGTGTTGGTCTGAAGGTTCTCCGTGTTTTGGTCAGCATGCAGCAGTGAGCCTCAATGTGTCCCAAAAAGCAACAGATTTGGTATAGGATCATCAATCTGCTTCTCAAGCTTGACAATTTGGCTTTCAAAGATCTGATCGCCACTCTAGGGGCCGCCATCACTGCAAATCCAGCTGCTATTCAGGAGGTCTGGGGCAAGTGCTTATAGCGGGATGCCTAGCTTTCGGACTGCGAACCCTCCAACCATTGATCGAAGTTGTACATCAATGATTCAGGGAGCGACATGGACGTGCGCACATATGTAATCCAATGGCTTGTCCAGTGAATAGTCCGTAAAAACTTCCGGAGGCTAACTGGTGATGGAACATTTGCAACCAGATTTTCGAGCTCAGCGAACAGACCAACAGGCAGTTCGTGCATACAGGCTAGCCATGTCCATCCATGGGTGCATTTTAGCTGTAGTCAACTGTTGTATTATTTGACACCATTTCTCTCAAATCAAGACCAGCTATCACTCATATGCTACCGTAGTGCAGAAGCTTAGTTGTTTTGTCTTCGCGCAGCAATGAAACTAGTCTTTCTGGCGGAGGATTTTTTCAAAATGAGTTATGACTTGGGGAATAAATGACAGGTAAGATGTGACTTCACGTATCCTGCTGTCCTGTTGGTCTAACCTATATCCATTTAATTTGATAGCGGGATCGCACTTGATAGCACGAAATTTGCTCATAATTGAGTATTGTAGTTGTCCAGCAACAACGGGGTTTCTGTTTCGCTTCGCGGGGAACGTCATTTAAGTGGGTCAGGTAGCTGTCTAAACTGTCTAAACTTGTAAACAATCAACAACATCAAGATGAAAAGTTCTCCGCAAACCCCGACGGAATTTCGGCTTATGCGAGGGTATAACAACGAACCCTGCTCTGTCGATAAAAAAATGGTAGTTTTCTCCACCTTCCAGGCGGGTTCTTCTATGGTTCCCGAAGCACGGGTCTTACAATTTTGCTCTTCACCGATATAGTGCTGATAAGTGCGCTGGCTGATAGAGTACCTGGACCATCCTGGACACAAGACTACACACAAGGTACATATGCACCTTGTCGGGAAACTTGCTCATCCCCCCACACCCGTGTAATGACCACGCTTCAGAAAAAGTTCACCTTTTGCGCTCCCAAAGGATGATGTATTCAGTTTGAGGAATTACTGCAAGACGACAACGTAAGACTCTTGGTTTTACGCACGCTTGCATGCAGTTATTGCAGACGCAATACTCACCAAGCTACAGACTCATTGTTGTTTTGTCTACTATGTTATTGCGGCGAAAAACACCAGGATTTCGTGTTTTGGAGATGTAGTTTCCTGAATGTAATTGTAAGGTACCTATTGTGACCCAATACGTGGACTCTGTTGGGATGTACTACACTCATAGGTGCAGAACAGATACAAATAATGCCTACTTCGTACAGGCGTAGGTGGCGAAACGTCAAACCAGATGATTCGTATACTGTTTGTGGTGAAATAAGACGAAAAGGTCGTCGTGTATTTATTCTTTGATGGTTAAACTATCCTTAAACATGAATTCCACTCAACTTGAGATTGCTGCAGATAAAGCACTAGGACAACGCCAAAGTTTGCCATTTCAGTACGACAGACCGTTATAGATTCTGACCGAAATACCTTTTGGTAATACGCTGAAGATTACAAGTTATAGGCACCAAGTGCCACACTCAAACGGTTCCAGTCCCCATCAGAGAACACCTGTTAATACGTTATTGTTTGTGGCAGTCTGTTGGAGGTAACCAATATTACAAATACTATACCGAAATTTTGCGAGTTGTTTTTTATTTCATGGAAACATCAGGAATGCACCAGGTCAACGTGTACCCAATAGAGAACAGTTTGGGAAACTCAGATGGTAACTGAATCTCGACAGAACCACTAGGCGTTGGAATGAACACATGGTGCAAAACTACTTTATCTTTGTGTGTCTTCAGTCATCTCAAACTCTTTACGTTTTCTGCATCTCATGCTGATCCATGCACCAAAAGTGGATGTACCGTCTCTCCCGAAAGTGGTTGAGTATGCAACTACAGTGCTACATATGTGCTTAAAACCAATATATTCTTGTCTACTGTACAAAAGGTACCCAAGAACAATCGTGCTCATTCATGCAAACTTGCTTTCCTCAGGTAGAAGCTTATTCGGCCGATCTCACACTGTGCAAAACAGTATTGACAGTAGTTCATATTCTCGGTGTTATGTCCCGTCACCGTTTGTTTTGACAACCTGAATCTCTCCACGCCGCGTTTGTGTGAATCGGGACCGAAAAACGACACCGTGCCAAACTGTGCGCAGCATATCACATTTATTGGTTCAGTTGATCCGCGATAACTGCCATCGCTGGGGCCTACTTTACAGCCTTAGATACTATCTACTTGTAGTGGTTCGCCCGAGGGCAGGGCATGGACACTAATGTCCATTCATGTCAGAACAATACCCAAAAGTAATAGCTCCTCAAAATGCTAGTCTTTGTGGCTGTGCTGAAGGAGAAGGACCGATCACATTTTCCTCCGACTGCATCTTTAGACCATGTTTCGGGCCTGAGGACCGGCCTATTGCATATACACATGGCCAAAATCGTGGTATCTTTGGATTCTCCCGTTGTCTTCTTTGGTATTTGTCGCTACAAAGTCATCCCATAACTCGGTGAAGATGAACTGTTGATTTTTCAATTTTTGGTCGAACAATTCGAATTCTGGAAATTATTGGCCAAGACTATCAGTTGGTTCTAGGAGTTCTGCAACTGTGGTTGTAATACTTTTGAACAACATAAACTTGACACATCGTGTATGATGTTTTCAAATCATGTGCTGAACTGCTTTGTGGTCAGAAGTGACCGAAGTTCGTATTATTGCTACATTTTTTCGCTGTGGTCGCATACCTGCGAAATGCAACGGATAAACATGAGGTCGAAGAGAATTTTGGTAGCTTGGGTTGTAGTGACGACAGCCGGTTTGTTCGCTGAGCTGGGCAATTTAGTTGCAAACGTTTCATCACCAGTCAAGACTAATTATTCAGTGAGATGTAGGCGAAAGCACTTAATTGTGGCGAAGCACCGCCAACTCGATACTAACACTGATTCAGCCTCTGCCATCATACCAGGGGATGGAGAAACGGGACGCACTGTGGATGCAAACTAACAAACTTCACGGTAGGGGGGAGACTAGAAAAGTCAACTCTCAAGGCTATCCACCATTCTTAATACAGGCCAACCAACCCGCACAATTAGTGGTCGGTCAAAATCAATCTGTGTGAGTACACCCCATATGGACCCATGCACGCTCCACAACCATGCACCTCCACTCTTAGTAGAGCTCATTATCAGTTTATACATTTGGCCATGTCAGGGTTTGAGCTCTGAATGTCTGACATTCGGAGCCCTATTCTAGCAGCGCACGCTGGACTCACCTGATTTATCACGTCAGGACAAGTGAACATGATCACGCTTGCATGGTGTGATTGGTTTTCCCAACGACCCAATAACTGTCCTGGTTATGTCGACCGACTGTCCCACCTGTCAATACTCTCCAGTCAGGTGGTGTCACGGACGCTTGAGGCCCGTTGGACAACTTTTGCCTAGTCGAAGATGGTCACGGGATCAGTAGAATTCACATTCACATCTAAATGATTGATAGCAATAGCCGCGCTTACCCGGGAAAACTCCGCACTTACAGTTTGCGTGTTGTCATTTTCAAACTTGAGGACGGCCAGATAACACGTTGAGCATCGGGAAAACTGAAAATGTCACCTGAAACAGTCAGCTGAATACTTGGCTGCGTATTCTATTCTTATTCAGGCGAGGGCTCCCGTCTGTTTTTATATCTCAATGCTGTGTATGGTCGTGGTGTGACCGTAGCGCCTCACGCGATGTCCGTTCGCATGCAAACTCGATAATAAAAACGCCAACAACATTAATGCGCTCGAACATCATGTTTTTGTTTTGCCCCTGTATTTGATCCGTGCTCTCGGGAGGATTTTCCGTCTCCCGCGTAAGTATTCCTGATGACTTCAAAACTTATTGGATTTGTGAGCGAATCAGTATTTGTCCAATATTGCTATTTCTCCTTTGTGTCTCATTTCATTTTGTCGGACCAAAATATCCTCGTATTTTCTTGACAGAACATACTATTCTTAAGGTTACTGAAAACAGCACAAACCGGTTTCGGTCATTTTGGGGCTCACCAGCTGGTCGCAGTTTCTGAGTTCCTGTCAACATTATGTTCTACGCAAATGGCGAAGTACACTCATTTGTAAACCAAGCTGATACACCAACTGAAACATGAAACCTTTGTACAGAACGTTCAGTCGAAGAATATCATAATCGAGGGATTCAGCAAGGATTCAGTTGAATCCTCCGTGAAAACCAATTTAGTTTCCAAATGAGTGCATCTATCCAATAACCTCATCGTTTTCTGATTTAAAAAGCCTTTTTTACTTCGTGTACATGGTCATCACCATTTGTCTTCTTAGAATACGCGAAATTTTGCCGCTCCAACTGTCCCGGTTATTTGTACGATAAACCTGTGGTACACAAGTCCTTGGATAACTTGATTGATCTTGAGTTGGTCGTGGCGGGCAAATCTGCAATGGCTGCTGCTGCAACCGCCGCGGCTAGTCGTGGGACCTCGGGTCAGTGGGCAATGCATCCCAACTACAAACCGCTGTTTTGTTTCGTCGAGTCCCAACTGCTTTCCGCTTGCTTAGATGCGTATCCTAATTGTCCAATGGAATTACGTTTCTGGATTCATTCACGAGCATTTTGATATCTCTCTAACCTCACCTCATTTCCTATGTGTTTCTCTAAGATTTTACTACTTTTATACATCAGTGCCTCCACATAAACTGTAAGTTCTCGACTGACTCGTGGGGTCACTGGTGAAACTTGGCTCTGGAGCTTAATGTTCTCTCCGAGCGGTGAATCTGTTTTGCAATGCTGTTTTTGTTTACGTTTAACTTGGAAGGTACGCTGAAAATTTGGTCTCCTACTAGTTTGACTTAGGGCTTCATAGTAATGGTAATAATCACTCAGCTGTAACACCTTTTCTTGGTCTAGATACCATGCCACCCGAAGGAAGTACGAGAGCTGAGATACTGCCAGGTTGCCCAAGCCTAGACAGGAGCAGTAGGGATTCACAGGATTGGGTCCGAAGCACGGTGCTTCTGGTTATTAAGTTTGTGCCTTAATCACTGAGGTACTTCGAGGTTCAAGAAGATCAACGTAGTCGGGGCAGTCAAGAGTACACTGATACTTGCGGACAAACTGCATGGCGTGGGCAACCACGGCGCATTCGTCACTGATCACTCAGCCTGAGGCAAACGTCAGCGTTGGATGAACTATGAATGCTCCAAGTTAGACTTGTGGTCAGACCATCCTGAGTCGAATTTCGTTCGTCAAGTACAGATGTGCTTGGAAGACGGAGGAGAAGCAACGAGCTCCTGTATTACGAGGGGGTCTTCGAGCCGTGTAGGATAGGGATGTGAAGGCAGGGAAGTGTTTTCTCTAGTCTACTAACAACTCCATATTTATAAACGTAGTGGTTTGCTTCCCCCTGGGGAAGAACGGGTTGAAAAAGGTCTTGCCTTAAGACCCAACCAACTTCAATCGCCCAATGGTTGACTGTGACCGTCGACGTGTTACTCGACTTGGTCGAGAACAGCGATTCCAGTTCTGCAGAAAAGGTGCCTATCATGATTTGGAATTCCATGTCTTACATCTTTTGCCTTCGAGTTAGATAGTCATCAACTTCCAAGTGGCTCATGCCTGAACTTATTATCTATTTATTGAGGGTTTCCCTCCTTAGTGCATAAGCCGTAAAGTTTCTGAAGTTATCGTTGTTTGGACAACTACGGCCGGGATTATCCCCCCTGTTGCTTTCTCCACCTGTTTTGTTCCCGCCTTGCTGAGAAACACAGGTAACCCACGCACATTTGCAGTGTTTGAACGCTCAAGCAGATCGGTCAACAAGCTGTTCTGATACACGGATTCTCGTATTTGGAGCTTGACGTTAATTAGGTCTCCGAAACCCGAATGACTGTTCATGGATTCAGTTTGGAATAAAACGCCCACTGATTTTAATATGATGATTGCAAATTGACTTCTCTCGACATATCATGGTTTTCTCATCTTTCCGTTTCTAATGGACATGTTCCCTGCAAAATCGGTGGGGCTGTTGCATATCCCTTTTATTGAACTGCAAAACATTGACTATACCTCTGTTGCTCGTGGACGTCCATGTTGTCTAGATGATGCGCTTGGCGTGAAAAAGTGCCGGTTTCTAGCCGCCAGAAGTAAGGTATCATAGTAAGCGAGATTCTGCTTTCTGATGACAGATTTCCGATAGGAACGTGAGGGAGATCATGGTAACTAGAGGTCCTTTACAATTTGTTCGTTCCGGTGGCTTCGTTTGGTTACATTAGCAGAATGACTATCGGTACACAAAGGGCTATGAATTTGGCAGCGACCCGGATGATGTCTTTCGCTGTGCAATTTATGCAGTTCCATCTGAACGCTCATGTAAGAACGGCGCGAATCCGAAGACAAACGGCGCCATTGATAATAAGACGGCTTCAGGCTCAATCCATTGTTCGTTCAGGTGCGTATGTGTGATAATCGCCGACGTCTGAGACAGCCCTGTCATTAAACCGCTTGTCCAATGAGCAGGAAGCTTAGTTGCTTTTTCTGGGAGTTCCCTGTTTGTCCGTTATCTGTGTATTTGGGTAGCTGGTCCATCGCCATTGCCTTCTCACCCAAGCATTTACCTCCTTGTAAGGTAGACCATTCGCATCGGGATACTGGAGTAGTCTTTTTGGTGTGAAAAGCGCAGTCGAACTACGTCACATAATTTTGGGAGAAAGCCCTACGCGGGGATGCACCCTGGAGGATCACTTTAAGTGTCGGTTGGAAGCAGTTTGGCGTATTACCAGGTTCAGGTAACCTGGTCAGATGGACATACCACATCATCCTATTGAAACCAGTTTGATATTTTCGTGGTTTCGCGGTCTATTTTGGCCACAGGTGATTTCTGAGCATACCGATTGCAGGGAACAAGTTCAACAAAGTCCCATCAAATAGTTACGTTCATAAATAGCTTACCCCCCCCCCCAAGATGTGGGGGTCTGTCAATGTACAGGCAATGCTGAGATGCCTATTTCCCGATGACAGCAATGGCTGAGGTAGCCTGCTTGCTGTCACCGTTTCGATCGTTTTCCTGCGAATGACTTAAATTATTAGACTACATCCGACAAGTCACGTTGAAGCATTCGGGTGGTTGATTCGGTATTTCGTCTAGCTCTAATGGTTTGCAATCGTATCGATCACGTCTTCCACTGAATGCTAAATTTTCAGTTGCTTGAGATATGCGTTGATCCGTACGACTCATATCGTTTGTTACAGTAAGGGAATTACGCTGGCTTATCGCAGACTGGTGACTACCTTTCATGTTCATGTTGGACGGAGGGGTATTAGCGAAAGAGGCATTTGCTTGTACTGCATGGAATGCTTCTTGGTTCGGTAAGCAGTGGTGGTGCGCAGACCAGTTTTTGTGGGGAAGAAGATAGCGTTTCTGTGTTCTGTCCGATCGGTTGTCCTAGAATATTGTGTGAACATCTTTGAGCTTTCGATTCCGATCAGGATTATCTTGACGACCAGGTCCTCAACTAAAGCCTAAAGGCCTTAGTTGCTCGAAAGCCTAGCTGCAATACAGTGGTGTCCAAAGGTAAGTGCCAGTGCAATACAATTCTTTTAAAAACAAGTCACCAAGCACTTTTCAACCTTCAACCGGGAGACCGTGTTGGTCAGACATCTAACCAACCTAGTGTGAGAAGCTCTGTGAGTATCGTACGGATACCACCCGGTATAGCGAAATGGGTCACGGAGGCACACAACCCGTCACACCAGTTTAAGGTTCACTCTTTTCGTGACGACGAAAAATAAACCGATTGCGATTCTGCGTTTGACTCATTATTACGCTAACACAGCATTAATGTGATTTAGTACTTGAATTTCGCCAAAGCTACGGTACTGGTACTGAACATAGTTCGAATGCTCCAAAATTTATTAACTGGATTAATTCATGTCAATGATTTTGTTCTTGTTGGGTGTAAGAATAACGTGGGTCGGATTTACAAGTGTTCCTTGTTGTTGCTACTCACAAACCGGTCAGAGTCGGGTTCGCGCAGACCCGATTTGCACCAGTTTCACGTTGCTTTTATCCAAACCGCCTCTTGAATGCCAGTGTGGGTCTTCAGTTAACCTGGGAAGTTTTGGTGCTACCCTGGAAAGAATGAAGGAACCAGGGCGAATTGCTGAGTTAATCTTCGGGTAACGTGTTCATGCCGTCAAAGTCAACGTCACTGCAGTAATTTCCGGAAACTGGTGTTCTATAACCGCTGATGTGGATATTTTGCCCAACTCTGAATTTTTCAGAGCGCGTCGTGAACATTCTCGGGTAAAAAACCTCAAATTTCCTGGTGGCTTTTGCGCTAACCGGCGAAGGTTCGTAACCATAAGTGGGAAGTGTTCGGATCACGACTGTAAATACGTGAATCTTCCTAGGCACGCTGATTGTTCCCAAAATGTTCACCTTGACACACAGGAAAACATACCTTACACCACCTCCATAATAACCAGGATGTAATTTGGGCAGTCTTCATGAAATTGCAAAATCCACATAGTAAAGCGATGTTAGTTCATCAAATTCATCCGTATGAAAAGACCTACGTCTGTCTTCACAAAGTACTTCGTCCTACTGGAATTAATCATCAGTCCTTCAAGCCCTGAATAGTTGGAAACTTAGACAGCTACACTTTGAAGGTCTACCTGTTCACCAAGCAAAGCAATAGTGTCAGTATCCCGGGCTTAAATGGCTACCAAAGCATTCCTTGGTGCTCCCGCCCCCCCTTTCTACCTATCTTCTGCTGAAGAAGTCTCTGTTGGGCTTATGTAAGAAACTGGTTGACTGGAGAGACCGGGTGACCGGCCTTCGCATGATATTTTGGCGGATGTGTGAAGTGCTAAAACCGCCTGTTGGTGACAAGTATGTGGTTCGTTGTGGTGAAACCAAAAAGTCACCGCTCTTGTACCGCTGTCCTAATCAGAAATTGCAGAATGCAGTCATCTAACCGAATTTCACGGATTTCTTGATCGCATGAATGTCCTATCCATCATGCTCTGCACCTGCCTGTAAACACTCCTCACCGAGAAAATCTGTTGGTAAGTTAATTGCGTGGAGAAGATTTCCAGTCAACTACAGTAGTAGGAAGTACCCTACTTGCGGAGGAAACTCGGTTACAGGTTGTGACTAAAGTTTAGGACGGTTGCCCAATACAAAGTATATCCTGTGGGTGACTGTGATCCTTAAAGGACCGCTTTTGTTGACCTAGCAGTAGGTATCCATTCTGGGTGCCAGGATTCGTGAGTTTTACAGCCTTGACTGACAATCCTGTAACCTCTAGGGAACCCCGCGGTGTCGTTTGATTAGACAACCGACCGGTCAACAAATCGATCGATCGAATGATGTCCTGATAAACCAATGGAGTGGCTGATCAATTAGCTCTTTTCCTGCTGGCTTGAATAGTTGGTTGCTCGATCAACCGATTGGTTGGTTGAGACGTTTGCGAGGAGTTTTAAGAGATTATACAAATGACGTGTCATTTGTCATTTTACATATACACCTGTATCTTCCAAACAACCGTGTCATTTGTGGAACAGCCAAACATCTACAGAAGATAACCGAACAGCACCACCATCATAGCTAACAGCGATTAAATGGTGTTGGCCGAGCAACGGAATGAACGGCACCTATAAGCGCACATAATATTTGCTTTTCTAATGGAGCCTATGC